CTATCCAGCTCTCTGCTAATGCACCTGGGAAAGCATCGGAGGATGGCCCAAGTGCTTGGGCCCCTGCACCTACATGGAGTTCACCGATGTGAGAGAACTGGAAGAAGCTCCTGGCTCCTGCCTTCAGATCGGCTCAGCTCTGGCTGCTGTGGCCAACTGGGGCGTTAACCAGTGGATGGAAGATTTCTCTCTGTCTGTACCTCTCTCTGTAACTCTTTCAAATAAATAAAATAAAGCTTAAAAATTAAAAAAGAAGAGGAAGGTAACAGAAAATGGAATTACAAATAAGTAATTATAAGTAAGATTATTTTGGTGCAAAATGTTTAAATCCATGCAGATTTCCTAATAGTGCATATTTCCTGTGAACTTTTTTTAAAAAAAGAGAGAGAGATGTATTTATTTACTTGAAAGATTGAGTGAGAGAGAGAGAGAGAGGGAGTTAGACAGAGAGAGAGATCTTCCATCTGCTGGTCCACTCTGCAAATGCTGCAACAACCATGACTGGGCCAGGCCAGAGCCAGGAGGTAAGCATCTCTCACTGAGTTTCCCTCATGGGTGGCAGGGGCCCAAGCACATGAGCCATCCTCTGCTGCTTACCAGGCACATTAGCAGGAAGCTGGATCCAAAACGAAGTGGCTGGGGCTTGAACAGGCACTCTTGATTTGATGCCGGCATTGCATGCAGCAGCCTAATCCACAGCGCAACAATAACCACACCTCTGAGAACTTGTTAAGATCTTCAGTAGGCAAGCATTTTCAAATTTTTGCACTGAAATACTTGTATTTTTTAATGATCTTATTTAATTTGAGAGGTAGAGTTACAGACAGAAAGAGGGAGAGACTGAGAGGAAGGTTCACTCCCCAGATGGCTGCAATGGCTGGAGCTGGGCTGATCCAAAGCCAGGAGCCAGGAGCTTCTTCCAGGTCTACCACATGGGTGCAGGGACCCAAGCAATTGGGCCATCTTCCACTGCTTTCCCAGGCCTTAGCAGAGAACTGAATCAGAAGAGGAGCAGCTGGGACATGAACCAGTGCCCATATGGGATGCTGCAGGTGAAAGCTTAGCCCACTATGCCACAGCACCAGCCCCTGAAATACTTTTTGAAAAATTCCTTTCTCTGTGAACTGTTTGAAGTAGCTTTTCATTCTTTCACTGTATATTTTTCTAGGTTTGATATAATATAGATATAAAATATACATGAGGACAGGGTTAAATGTCATGATCTAGAATCTGGAAGTGAAAGTAATCATCTTGTGTGAGGCACCACTGATTAAAAGCTCTGTTTGGAGAGAGTTGTGTATTTCCTTACCATAAAGTAAAGGACTTCATGGGGGAAGGAAGGGAATTGAAATCTTATTAGGCTTTTGCATGTTGTTATATTGTATCCAAAATGATTATGTCTATATGCTCTTATCAGATATCAATTTTTTTTTTATTTTTTTTTCTTTCTTTCTTTATTTTTTTTTGACAGGCAGAGTGGACAGTGAGAGAGAGAGACAGAGAGAAAGGTCTTCCTTTTGCCGTTGGTTCACCCTCCAATGGCCGCCGCGGTTGGCGCGCTGCGGCCGGCGCACCGCGCTGATCCGATGGCAGGAGCCAGGAGCCAGGTGCTTTTCCTGGTCTCCCATGGGGTGCAGGGCCCAAGCACCTGGGCCATCCTCCACTGCACTCCCTGGCCACAGCAGAGGGCTGGCCTGGAAGAGGGGCAACCGGGACAGAATCCGGCGCCCCGACCGGGACTAGAAGCCGGTGTGCCGGCGCCGCTAGGCGGAGGATTAGCCTAGTGAGCCGCGGCGCCGGCCATCAGATATCAATTTTACCAAATCATTAGCCAGAGGTTGCAGATATAAAAGCTAATAGTCATAGGCCTGTGTTCCGGTTATTAGGAAAAAAGCATAAATGATATCATGAAGGTCTGCATATTCTTGTATAAAGCTTACAAGACCTAGTTTTGCTTCCTGATCAGACTTAGAATACAGTTGCTAAAGAACAGACTTACAGTAGGCTCACGGTAGAGTACCAGTGTTTGTTTACGTGTGGTCACAAAAGGTCACAGGAGACATTTATGGGATTTTCAGATGTGCTGGACTGAAGTATAATTGTCGTGTTCCTTTTTTCTCCTGGCTATGAAGGCATATGTTCTGACATCACCAAATATGTGAGGGTGTGTGTGAGTAATTTTAATACAAAAACTCTGTAATGTGTGGGTGTAGGTCTTTTTTCCTCCAGAACGATTTGCTGATTAAGTAGTAACAACATGCCACCAACTGAGGTTTTCTTTTTCTTTTTTCTTTGCCTTTTTGAAAGAAATCTGTGTTTAAAACTTGCACGTGACTTACTTCTCTTCAGTACATCTATCTTCATTTTATTTTTATCTCTCCCTCATGGCATGCTTAAGTTCAGGGATCTGTCATCAGATTAGCATGTATTGATATTCCTTCTGAAGTGGAATATGATCCAGTGTAATATTTGCATTTTCAGGATTCTCTCCAGACCAGTGAAATTAAAATAGTGACACAAAAAATACCTCTTTCTGAAACAGAATACTTCAGGAAACATTGTGTTATCAGAATATTGGTGAAACTTCTGGTATAAAATAATATTTTATATCATTTTTAAGTTAGAATTTTAATATCTAAAATACTCAGCTGATATTGTATATTAATCTTAGTGGTATTCATCACTGGAGACTGATCTGTCAGAAGGTAATATCTAATTTGTCTCAAATGTTTGAGGAGGCGTGAAGAGGTGCCTCAAGCATGAAAACATCTCAAAAGCCATAGAGCAGAGTGACTGTCCATGATACAAGTGGAGAACATTCACTTTGCTTATGTTGTCCTCTGTGATAAAATTAATAAATCTATGTGATAAAGTGGCTGATGACTAAGTAGAGAACTATAGCAGTGTGGACCAAGTAAAGCTCAGTTCTTATTTTTTTTTTTTTTTGGTATTTTGCCTTTGTGAAATAAAATAATTTATTATCCAAAGTCATTTTTTTCTGGGTATGTTTACCAAGCAACAATTTCAAAACAAGGACCACTTTGAAAAGTGATAAATCAAGATCCACGCATCTTTTACTCCTATTTTCTTGGAAAGGGCCGAGGGAAAGTTACCCTGAACTCCTGGACAAGGCTTGACTAAGTCCTGTGGATGTCCCAGGCACATGAATGCCTTCTATCTCAGTCTTCTAGAAATATGTGCTCAATATTTCTTTAGAATAGAGAAAGGATTTACCTTGTGGCATTCGAATGAAGTACAAGGATTTTGAATTAGTACATGGGATAGAATGCCTACTGAGCTGTAATCTTGACCAAAACCATCTACTAGTTTTCAGTTTTCCTATCGATAAAATAGGCATCACAATAGACCCTACTTCCCAAACCATAGTGTGTGTAAAATTAGTTAATCCATGTAAAGTCCTTAGCATAGTGCCTGTGAAGTGATGAATTCTTAGGGGAAAAAAGAGTATTACATAATTATTTGATTATCTGAAGTATAATTCCTTTAACCCAATGTGAATTTTTGTACTTTTCTTTTAATCATATTTTAAGTTTGAAATAATAGTGACTATGCTTCTATTATGAAGAGAGCTTGCGGTCCTGTTCTTTGAATTACATAGTAAGTGACAATTGGATAAAATTAATGTAACTGTATTTTCAGTTGTATCTGCCATTCCCAGCCTCCATTTCAGAATCCTATCATGTGGGAGATTTAGATTCAGTTGAGGATCTTTATCCTTCATGGCTGCTCAGCCCCCCTGCCCCTGGGAGAAAAGCATAAGTAATAGGAGAGGAAATGACCCCACAGAAATGTGTATTGGTTGCCCTTTCCTTTATGAGAGGTCAGACACCATATAAGAATAAGACACAATATAAGAAAAAGACAAGGTAAGCCAGGCAATTGAATCTGTTAAATGTATCTACAGAGATTTAGATCACAAAAGAGAATATGAGTTCTGAAATAGTTATAAATTGAAATCCATAGGCTTCCTTAGAAATTTATTTCTCATTTTTCCCCTTGTAGATATCTGGGCAACAGAGCCATGGTTTAAGGTTTAAGGTGAGGATCTAGTGACAGGCAACACAGGGTTTTGTAGACTCGGAGCCTTTTACGAATGCCCTGCACTCCATTTCCCTGTTTGTTCCATAGGCTGAGGCTACCCTGACCACAGTCACACCGTGTGATAATTTCACGTTCTGTTGATATTTGTTGTGTGTTCTCTGCCTGAGGCAGTCAGCCATTTGATTTTATCACAGGCACAAGGATATTGAATTTCAGGTCAGTTTTGAAGCTCAGCTGACAGATAAAGTTTTCTTCGGTTGATTGTCATTTTATTTTTTGAACATAAATAGGTAGTGTCATAGATTATTTTGTGTCTAAGTGGTGTCCACAGGCATTTGTTGCCTTGAATTAGTAAGTGATCAGCAGGATCATTATGGTTGCATAAATCTGGGTGGCACTATATTTTCAAATGCAAGTTCAGTGGGGAGTTTGAGATCTGTTTCTCTGTAGATCAAAGAAAATTCAATCTCATTTCTTGGATCCTGTATTTATGTTTTGAGTTATAGACTTATAAGACCATAAAATATGAAGCCTTCTATCGGATGGTTAGCACCCAGAATAATGTCCTTAATGTTAATATAAGACAAAAAACAACTTGGTAGGTAAATACAAAAAAAAATGCATTAGTTTGGGTTTTTTCCCCACTTTTACTGCATTTGTTTCCAGCTTTTGAAACAATAACCATAATATTACTGATATGGAAACTTAGTCTATTCTTTAAAAGTTAATTTTGGTTTGCATATGTGTTTTTTGCTTACGCAGTTGCTGCTTGCAATTTTTATCAGAAATGAAGCAAATGTTTACTGTCTTAGGAAATGAATTTATATAAGCAATTTTGATGTTAGGTGAATGGCCTCAACTCCAAAGATGAAGAGCATTCAGAAAGGGGATACGTACTTAGATAATTTTCAAAATGTTAAACTTTTCTTCTCTTGCAGTGAGAGGTTTTTCTTGAGGCTGAATAGGAATGGGCTTCCAAAAGCCCCAGATAAACCAGAACGACATTGCTCTCTCTTTGTGGTAAGTGGTCTTGTTTCATCCATTAGGTGGGATCTTCCTATTGTGCTTCCTATTACTTAGGAGAAATAAATTACTATGATAGAATATAGTAGTTTAAGAAATGTTTAAAGAGGCCGGCGCCACGGCTCACTAGGCTAATCCTCCGCCTTGCGGCACACCGGGTTCTAGTCCCGGTTGGGGCGCCAGATTCTGTCCCAGTTGCCCCTCTTCCAGGCCAGCTCTCTGCTGTGGCCCGGGTGTACAGTGGAGGATGGCCCAAGTCCTTGGGCCCTGTACCCCATGGGAGACCAGGATAAGAACCTGGCTCCTGCCTTCAGATCAGCGCGGTGCGCTGGCCGCGGCGGCCATTGGAGAATGAACCAAGGGCAAAAGGAAGACCTTTCTCTCTGTCTCTCTCTCTCACTGTCCACTCTGCCTGTCAAAAAAAAAATTTTTTTTTAAAAAGAAATGTTTAAAGAATGAATGAGAGATTAAATCAATATCATTAAAGTATTATTTAATATTATTAAAGTGTTATTTAATATTATTAAAGTATTATTTGATATCAGTAGACCTAAAGTTGATTACAGAGGTATTTTTAAAACAGAAATTGTGTGCTTCTTCTATAAATATTCCATCAAGAAGGCCTATGTTCATCTCTGTCTTTATTCTATTATGTGTGAGAATAATCAGCTATGTCCCTTAAGTACTTCTGCATAGATTATGAATTCTAAAATAACTAGACTTTGTTTTTTTGTAGGATTTGGGTAGCAGTGAGCTAAGAAAGGACATTTTTATCACAGTGCACATTATCAGGATTGGTAAGTACAGTATTTGTCTGTATGACAGGACCAAGTTATGAGAAGAAGAAATTCTGAGAACAGGCTCTGTGTGGTTGTGATTTGTCTGCTGTCTGAATCAGAAAGCATTCAAAGTCAGATCTGAACCCAAGAATCACCAAAATTGCCAATTGTTCCCTGGCCTCCTCAGCTTCACAGGCAGCTCCTTACTCATCTTAGATAAATTTTGGTCTCTTGCTATATAAATTGTTAAGTGGTTTATTTAGTTTCTGTTGTCTTTTATAATTATAATTTGTTACCATAAACTAAACTATTAGAAGCTGAGTTTCCTACTAGTTTATGAAAACTTTGTACCAGTTGGCATTTTCCAAAGTGCAGAATGCTATAGAGCATTCTTGCAGAAAGTACTATGAGAAAAAGGTTATGAAATACTGAATAATGGATGTGTTTTCACTTCTGTCATCAGCTTAATGAAGGTTCTGAAAAGTATGCCTCTCTGATTTTGTTGGTCCCCAAAGCTTTCCCCAAATTTGAATTTGACTGTGACAATGTTTGAAAACACTTTCATAATGTAGCATTTATTTGTTTGTTTGTTTATTATTTTTATTTATTTGAAATATAGAGTTAGATATAGGTAGAGATAGAGAGAGAGGTCTTCCATCCGCTGATCCACTCCCCAAATGGCCACAGTGGCCGGAGCCAAGCCGATCTGAAGTCAGGAGCCAGGAGCCTCCTCCGGGTCTCCCACGTGGGTGCAGGGGCCCAAGGACTTGGGCCATTTTCTACTACTCTCCCAGGCCATAGCAGAGAGCTGGATCAGAAAAGGAGCAGCCGCAACTAGAATCGGCACCCATAAGGGATGCCACGCTTCAGGCCAGGACTTTAACCTGCTGTGCCACGGCGCCCACCCCATGTAGCATTTATTAATGTCTTGCAGAATGCACTTGGGTATTCTGTGGTGAACTTGCTCCATGAAGCTAGAATGTGTTCCCATGTTTTTATGTGTATTTTATTCTAAAAGCAGGTGTTTTATGGCAGGGAAACTAGATATGAAAACAAGTGGTTAGACTACTGAGTGTTTCTATTAAGGCTAACCAGGTAATACTGGAGAATCCTTCCCACTTCTTCACTGACTGTGCTACATTACTTTTGTCAGAATACTGCAGAATTGTGATACATCGCCATGCAGTCCTGCAGTGTGAACTTTCATTTTGTATTCTTTCATCTTACACATATAATAAAAACATTGTACACTGAGACAGGCTAATGAAGCATGCTGTCATTACAACATAGATTTTCTATATTTTTTCTAATAAAAATCTGTTTTGAAAACCCATTTTCATTTTTTGCTATTTCTTCTATATTTGAAGGAAATGGTAAATGACTTTTAAATTAATTAATTTATTTTAAAGATTTATTTGTTTGAAAGTCAAAGAGAGAGAGCTCTTCCATACATGGATTCTCTACCCAAATGGCTGTAATAACTGGGGCTGGACCCAACAGAAGCCAGGAATATAGAACTCCATGTGCATCTTCCACATGGGTTTCAGGGGCCCAAGTTTTTGGGCCATCTTTCACTGCTTTCCCCAGGTTCATTAGCAGGGAGCTGGATCATAAGTGGAGCAGTTGGTGTTCTCAACAGCTCTCATATGGAATGCCTGCATGATAGGCAGCAGCTTAAGCCGCTGCACCACAATGCCAGCCCCTAAATAATTTTTTAATTGGTTTTGGTTTTAAATTTTCTTTTTACAAATGAGTATTTGAAAAAAATTAGAAAGGATCTTTTAAAGTGTTGTTAAAGTTGCAACCCATGCTGCCATGTACTTATGAGATAAAACCTCTGTCTATTCCCAGAAGGTAATTCTTTGTTTGCTTGTTTGTTTTCAACTCAATTTTTTTAAAGATTTATTTTATTTATTTTAAAGACAGTTACAGAGAGATGTAGAGACAAAAATTCCCAGATAGCCACAATAGCTGGAGCTGCGCCGATCCGAAGCCAGGAGCCAGGAGCTTTCTCCGGGTCTCCCACATGGCTGCAGGAGCCCAAGAACTTGGGCCATCTTCTACTGCTTTCTCAGGCCACAGCAGAGTGCTGGATTGGAAGAGGAGCAGCTGGGACTAGAACTGGTGCCCATATGTGATGCTGGCGCTTCAGGCCAGGGCTTTAACCTGCAGTGCCATAGCGTCAGCCTCTTATCTCAAATTCATACTACCAGTTGTTAATGTGGCTTTGTATATCTTCATATCCACATTGTTAAAACTTGAATATAAAACCTTCTATAGAATTGAGAGACAAAGTTACTGACATGCTTTCAGAACTTTCTAGAATGTATGTACAGGTTTCAAGTGGTAGAAATACATGTGGCAGAGTGAGTATATGCCCATCTAATTTGTGGCCTTCACTCAGTGTCATTGCTGAGGCAGCCAGCTCAGTAGTATTGACAGGCTGCCTTCCGAGTATGACACTTGAATATTTTTTTCCTGAGACAAATGGTCATTAAGGCATAAAATGAATATTGAACCAGAAATTACCTACCCACCTGTCTCCAACTTGGATCAAATGAATACTTCTCTAGGATTATCACCAAAAAAAAAAAAATTACTGTTTCAGTATTTTGAGACTAAAGAAAAACAAGATGAAAGTAAAATTATTTTAAATTTTATTTATTTTATTTGAAAGGCAATGAGACAAACAAACAGATAGAAATCCCCCATCGGCTTGGTCACTACCCAAATGCCTGCAACAACCAGGTCTGGGCCAGCTCAAAACCTGGATCCATGAATTCAAACTGAGTTTTCCACATGGTTGGCAGGGACCCAACTACTTGAGCCATCACCACTGTCTCCCAAGACGCACATTAGCAGGAAAGTGGAATTGGGAGCAGAGCAGGAACCCAAACTAAGACGTTGCAAGGTGAGATACACAAATCTCAAATGGCATCTTAACTGCTGTTCCCAATGCATGCCCCAGGGTAAAATTTAAGAGAGGTTAATCCTTAATCTGACATCTCCTTTGATGCTGGGACAGATGCTTCTTTTTTTTTTTTTTTTTTAATAAAATATCCCTTGAGGGGCTGGCTCTGTGGTGCAGCAGTGTAAGCTGCCACCTGAAATGCTGGCGTCACATCATGGTCTCTGGTTCCTGTCCTTGCTGCTCAACTTCCAGATCAGCTTCCTGCTAATAGTCTGGGAAAAGCAGTGGAAGACGACCCACGTGCCCGGGGCCCCTGCCACCTGTGTGGAAGACCTGGAATAAGCTCCTGGCTCCTGGCTGCAGCCTGGCCTTGCCCCAGCTGTTGCTGCCACCTGGGGAGTGAACCAGTGGATAGAAGATTTCCCTCTCTATGTGTTTGTCCCTCTCTCTATTCTGCCTTTCAAATAAATAAATAAATAAATCATTAAAAAAAAAAATGTGTCCTGAAAAAAAAAAAAAAACTCCCTTGGACCTGCTTTAGTAGGAAAAAGATACCTTGACCCTCACAGGCTGCAGAAAGCAGGAGCTTTTCACTTTGTGGAATTTAAGCTGAGATCTGGTTTGGAAAGAGCGGGTGTAAAAAGGGAGTAATTAATTATTTTATATCTTCCTGTCTGTCCCAGTTAGCACTTTTTTTGACCTCTGTGCCTTCCTTTTTTTTCTGGTTGCTCAGTTTTTGTTTTTGTTTTTATTTTTAAAATTTTTTGTTTGTCTATTTGAAAGAGTTTACAGAAAAAGAGGAAGAGAGAAAGAAATCATCCATTATAGGGCCGCTGCTGTGGCACAGTGGGTTAACGCCCTGGCCTGAAGCGCTGGCATCCCATGTGGGCGCCGGTTCGAGTCCTGGCTGCTCCACTTCCAATCCAGCTCTCTGCTATGGCCTGGGAAAGCAGTAGAAGATGGCCCAAGTTCTTGGGCCCCTGCACCCACATGGGAGACCCAGAAGATGCTCCTGGCTCCTGGCTCCTGGCTTTGGATCGGTGTAGTTCCAGCCATTGCAGCCAATTGCAGAATGAACCAGCGGATGGAAGACCTCTCTCTCTCTCTCTCTCTCTCTCCCCCTCTCCCTCTCCCTCTCCCTCTCCCTCTCTCTCTCCCTCTCTGTGTAACTCTGACTTTCAAGTAAAATAAATAAATCTTTAAAAAAAAAAAAAAGAAATCATCCATCTTCTGGATTTACCCCCAAAATGGCTGCCAGGAGCCAGCAACTCCATCCTGGTCGCCTACATGGGTGGCAGGGTCCCAAGCACTTGGACCATCTTCCACTGCTTTTCCCATGCCATTAGCAAGGAGCTTGATCGTATGTAGAGCCGCTGGGACTCAAACCTGTGCTCATGGGATTGCCTGCCTCCTATGCAGCAGCTTAACCTGCCATGCCTCATTGATGGCCCCAATTGCTCAGTGTTTTTACCTTTTCCCATTCCTCCTCCCTGTTTAGAGAATCTTTCTAGAAATCCAACCAGAAATGTAAATTCTTGTTAATCCTGCGTTTGGGAATATGCAATGGTCTTTGTATTATGGTAGCTAGAGACCTTAGTAGCCAATGTCGCTCCCCCTCTTCGTGGAGGAACGACACAGGACCCTGCGCTGTTCCTTCGTCCGCTCGGCCCTCCCCGGGTTTGCTGCTGGTTCTTCCCGGGTTGGCTACTATCCCTTCCACCTCCGTGGAAGGGCAGTTCCCCCTGGCCGCATTCCCCACTTCCGCAGGGGAGCGGCACACCGCCGGCCGGCTTCCTCAGGGGGCTGCACGGGTGTTCCTTCAACTAGATGTTCCCCTTAGATGTTCCCCATAGATGTTCCTCGTGCATGCCGTCTCTCTCCTCCTTTATAGTCCTCCTCCGCCAATCCCAACTCGGCTGCCCACACGCTGAGTACGCTGCTCTCCTCCAATCAGGAGCAAGTCCTACAGTTTATCAGTTGAACTGGAGGCAGCTGTGCGGAAGCTGTTTACTTCTCTCCCAGCGCCATATTGTGGGAGAGCAGATGCATAGAATAAGTCTTAATTCCAGTAACTCAGTCTAGTCCGGATTGCTCCCCACAGCCAAAGCTTTGGTGCCCAAATTGTCAGAAAAGAAAACTTAAAACTCCATGTTAGAGGACATGAGAGGTGTGGGGGTTTAGGAGTTCAGTTTACCATGTCACATAGGATAACACAAACCTCACATTGCAGGTAGTTATGGAGGTCACACTTCTCCCATCCTCTCATTTTGTCAGTGCCCCGCTCCAGTTGTTTCTTTAGCATAGTAGTAGCTGAAGGGAGTGTTTAAAAATAAGGAAAAAATATGGTGATGTCTAACATGCCCTTATATAAGTTGTAGGAATTTTTTGAACCTATTTTTTATTTACTTTTTTATTTGAAAGGCTCTCTCTCTCTCTCTCTCTCTCACACACACACACACACACACACACACAGAGAGAGAGAGAGAGAGATCCCATCTGCTGATTCATTGCCCAGATGCCTGCAAAAGCTGAGGCTGGGCCAGCCTGAAACCAGGAACTGGGAACTCAATCCAGGTCTCCCATGTGGACAGCAGAGACCCAGGTACATGAGCTATCAAGCGCTGCAACCAGGTATTCAGGGAGCTAGAATCAGGAGTGGAGCCAGTACTCAAATCTAGATATTCTGATATAGTACCAGCCCACCCCTTAAATTGTGGAAATTTAAAGCTAAAAGCATTCTTAAGAATAATTTTGTTTAGTATTTCTAAGTTTCTCATTTTTAATTGTGGACTTCTTTTATTAAATTAAATACTTCAGAAGTATTCCAATCAGAAATCTTCTAATCAAGTTGTTGTCTTCCATTTACAAGGGAATAATTAGTGAAAAAGATGGGATTGTATATTTCATCCTAATAATAATCATAATAGAGATAAATCAAAACTTTTTCATTTCACATGTGACAGAAGTTTTAAATTTGCTTAGATCCATTCTACAGATAAAAATTTAATTGATGATTTTTAAGTATAACATTATAAAGTGATTTGAAAGTTGAATTTATATTAAAATCACATAGCTGGACAGTTAGCTACATATTATAGCATCAGGTCATGAAAATCAAAATAGAAAATGAAACAAGCACCCATAATGCCTTTAATTTTATTTTTAATTCATACATCTGAAAAGCAACTGACTTATTTTGAATATTTTTTGGATTTTTATTCTGATAAAATAAGAGGTTTTCAAGCTATAATTTGAAAGCAGTTTCCTGAAAGTGACCTATCACAGGCAGTTTTTTGTTGTTGCTGAGTGATGAAAGCCAGAGTAGATATTACCACCCCCTTTTCTATTTAGCACTGGGCTTTGGAGCTGCCTAGATGTGCTATAGCAGAATTTTGCTCACATGGAAACAATGTATGGATCTGTTGGCAGGCGTCTAGAGACCTTGCATATTTTATTCCACTTAATACTTACTATATTTCAACTTTAGTATACGATCAGCTTTCCCTCATCAAAGAGACCATGGGCAATCAAATACCATAATAATTAAATACCAATAACAAATATTATATATATATATATCAGTAGCATATTTTTGAAATATGTGATCATTTAAACAGGTTGGAACTTTGTAATAGTGTGAGCCCCCTGATGTGGTTTCGGGGGGGACAGGGTTGTCAACAGCCTGCACTCTGGGCCCAGAGCATGCCCATTTGATCACCTGTACTTGACTTGCTCTGCTACTCAGAGTCTCATGCTGCTCTCTTTTCTTTTTTTTTTTTTAAGGATTTATTTATTTATTTATTTATTTGAAAAGCAGAGATACAGAGAGCAGGAGAGAGAGAATCTTTCATCCACTGGTTCACTCTCCAAATGGCCACAACAGCCGGGGCTGGGCCAGGCCAAAGGCAGGAGCCAGGAGCTTTTTATTTCAGGTCTCCCACATGGGTGCAGGGCCCAAGCACTTGGGCCATCCTTGCTGCTTTCCCAGGCACATTAGCAGGGAGCTGGATTGGAAGTGGAGTAGCTGAGACTCCAACCGGTGCCTGTATGGGATGGCAGAAATGCAGGCAAAGGCTTATTAGCCTTCTACACCATAGTGCTGGCCCCAAGCTGTTCTTTTTCAAAGGTGAAATTTTGAAATAGCTTTTTCAAAGTGGAATTTTCAAAAAACTAGAAAATGAAATGGGAAACGTGACTGCTTTTAAATGACGTGAGCCTCCTGGAATGCCTTCATGGATCCCAGGAGCAGGGAGGTGGTTCTGAAGCAGGGGTTGAGCTCCAGTCTGGACGTTTTAGATGACAAATAAAGCCCCGTGTTTAACCTACTTGCCCAAGGTCACAGGGCAGGGGTGATGGGAGAAGAGAGCCCAGGACTGAAGCAACATCTTCTCTTACCCTGAACTTAGGGGCTTCCCGTCACCCAGTTGCATTTTACAGGGGCCTCTCTTGTAGCTCTATGTGTTTCCTTTAAAAATGTGTGGAGTCAAGTGACTGCATGGATTATATTTACTCTTCTACCTGACAGGTCGAATGGGAGCAGGGGAAAAAAAGAATGCCTGCAGTGTGCAGTACCGGCGACCTTTTGGCTGTGCAGTTCTTAGCATTGCTGACCTGCTGACAGGAGAAACAAAGGATGACCTCATCTTGAAAGTGTACATGTAAGAAACACACACTTAGTAGGGGCTCGGGTGGGCACACGGGAGCACATGGATGCTGCTTGGGTGAACGCAACTTTCTTTGGCTAATGGAAAAGCAATGGGTAAGTTGATGTGATGGACCATTCCTTAAAAATCCAATAATCTGTAAATGTGTAAACCCACAAGTCACTGTTTCCCAGCTAAAGGAATTATGAAGTTGAGAGTCAGTGAATACAGACAGTTTATCAGTTAGGTGCAATGTCTACTGTGTAGAGTATCCCCTTTGAATTTATAAACTTGGCATGGCTTTACTATGGACATCTAATTTGTTCTTGGAAGGCAGACATGCTTTTGAGTATAAATTAATTAGAATTAGCTGAGGGACTCTCAGGTGATTAACCTTCTACTCCCTATATGAGGTTGCTGGGCCTGCCACAACAGTGGGGCTTAAACAACAGAAATGTACTGACTCACAGTCCTAGAGGCTTGACATGCAAAATCATGGTCATGGCAGGTTTGTTGTTTTCTGAGGGCTGAAACGGAGAAATCTGCTCTCTGCTTCTCTCCGAGTTTCTAGTGATTTGCTGGCAGCCCTGTAGCTGTGCCATTCCGCTGTCTGCTTTCATCTTCAGCTGTGCCCACCTTGTGTGCATGGCTGTCCTGTGTCCAGCTTCCCTCTTTTTATAGGGACATAGTCATACTGAGTCATGGGGCTCTCTGATGGCCTCATTGTAACTTGATTACCTTAATAAAATTAGGATCTCAACATTATAATGAATGGGAAGGGTTGGAGTGGGCACAGATTGACCTGCAATGCTTTAATAAGAAAGTCACTTGATACATTCCAAACCCTAAATTCTATGGTTTTTGCAATACACATGGATTTGGATCTACTCACCCTGAACACCTGCCCCCAGGTTGATTATTGGGAGCTGATAGTGATGTCATCCTCAGAGAAAAACCCTGAGCTTCTCTTCCTGGCCACTTCCATGAGTAAACTTGCTCTACTTTTCTATTCCACAGACTTTGTTGATATGTACAACAGATGCCAGTAATTTTTTCATGTAAGGGAGAAACACAATTGGCCCATCATCTGGGGACATGTGTATGCTTCAAATTGCTTTTTGTCCACTGCTGCAGAGTTCAAGGATTTACTCTCCACTCAGGGGAACTTAGACAACACATTTAGTAACTAGTTGTCAAAGATCTATCCCTGTGCTTTGGGAATGGAAACTCTTTTTATTCCTTTCATGGGCATGAAACCCATGGCCTTGATTTTGAACTTGAAGATTCTGGCAAAACTAATGGGTAGTAAAAACTGTTATTGTTTTTGTCACATGGTGGCCCTCACTTTCAGTGGTTGGACTGAAATCCATGATGATCTTTCCAAACTCTACTGGTAGTCATGCAACTGAACTCTTGTGAAATGGTAATGTTTGGTAACAGCTTCCCTGTACGGTGTTTGTTCTGGGTGTAAGGGATTGAGTTCAGCACTTTGCACATATCTTGTCCTTTTATCCTTGTAATGAATCCTTGAAGCAGCTGCTGTTAGCACAGTTGTGCACAGAAGGAGACCAAGAGTTAAATGACTTGCTCTAAGTCACTTAACTACTAGGAAAGAGAAGCAAATTTGAATTCAGGACTGCCCAGCTCCAGAACCTGAGGTCCCAAATTAGCAGCTGTATTTATTCTCATGTTATTTTGCAGTGCTCTCTTGTAGTGTGGCAATAATGCTGTGATGCAGTGTTGTTTCTTATGAAAACAAGTATCTTCATAAGAGTGTTTTGATTGATAGTGTATAGTGTTGCTATTCAGGACTCTTTGGAGGGCACATTTGTGGCTAATCAAAGATAACAGGCAAGTTTGTCCCTGCCTAACTGGGAGAGTGATGGCAGTGAAGATGGGTAGCTGACCCAGATATTTAGGAATCATCAAGTTATTAACAGTCAGAGAGACATCCATCCATCCATTGACCCATGTTTGCAATGCATTCAACTGACATTTTCTAAGCACCCATAAAATTCAAAGTACTGAGGGGGGCTCATGTCAGCACCCCAGATCTAGTCCTGATGGTTTCAGGGAACTGTACCATCCACACCAACATCAGCTAGCAGGTGATAAGAGCAAAATTAAAAATGTGCCAATGGCTAAGAGAGTAAGGCAGAGATGCTATTTCTCCCAAAATTGGAATATCTTGAGAGCTTTTTACTACCCGTTGGTGACTCTTGACAGCCTTTTGCCTGTGGAAGCTGTGTTAACATGCCTTTCATTGTGTTTACTTTGTTTCATTTTTATGATTGCCCAACCTTGTCATGTTACAGAAGGTAGAGACTCACTAAGAGCTAGCATTTATTGATCATTTATCGGGTATTACCCCAAGTAAATGCTTATTTAATGTTCTTGGTTAGTACTCCTGTTTCACAGGTGAGGAAATCAAGGTACAACTAGGGTGAATAAGTTGCCCAAAGAACATGGCTCAGTTAATGTTGATATTTCTAATCTGGAGAATCAAAATCTTAGTCTGCACTGCCTTCTGCCATAAGCAGTGTTCTCTGGAGTTTGTTTTCATTTGGAGTGACCACATGTAATTTGTGAACTATTCATCCCAAGTGCTGCTTAATTGTGAGGCAGGCAATTAGACATTCCCAGGTTTGGGCGTTCCTGCTCATCTTGGGGCAACCATACTAAAACTGACAGTCATTTGCAGTAGATTGCTGGGGATCCAAGGAGGCTTAGAGAAGTACATCCTAGTGTGTGTGTGTGTGTGTGTGTGTGTGTGTTTTAAGATTTTGTTTATTTGAAAGGTAGAGTTACAGGCAGAGTGGGAGACAAGAGAGAAAGATCTTCCATCTGCTGGTTTACTCCCCAAATGGCTGCAACAGCCAGAGCTGTGCCAATCCAAAGCCAGGAGCCAGGAGCATCTTCCAGGTCTCCTACATGGGTGCAGGGGCCCTAAGACCTGGGCCTCTTCCACTGCTGTCCCAGGTCATTAGCAGAGACCTGGATCAGAAGAGGAGCAGGCGGGTCATGAACCGAAGCCCATATTGGGATGCTGGTGCCAGAGGCAGAAGTTTAACCTACTAAGCCACATAATGTGTTTTCACAAAAAGAGCAGGTGTGCTATCAAGGTCATTGCTTGTTCTCATGCATCATTAAAGCTTAACTGAGTGTTAATGTTTTCACAGGTGTAACACGGAGAGCGAGTGGTACCAAATCCATGAGAACATCATCAAAAAGTTGAATGCACGTTATAATTTGACTGGCTCCAATGCAGGTGAGTATATAGGGCTGCCTGACTTTTCCTATAGTTTTTTATTTTAAGCTCTTCTTTTGTCTGTGGAGAGGAAGGTGATCAGCCCTTTGTTTTTCTCTCTATTCACTCTCAAACTTTAAAAATGCTCAGTCAACATCCTGGTACATCTCACTGTAATAACAGGCTTGTACCTGTAACTGTCTATGAAAAATTTACTCCACTTTCAGTTCAGAACAAGCAGAGGATCTGCATTTGTTCAATAGCACTGAGTCTTGAAATCTCCACATCATTACTGGAAGCTAAAATCCAAGTACTAAATATGTTAGGGTTTGTGACTGTTGTGTTGAAATAGCTTTGATAAACAGATCTGTAAGTAAGGTACAATAAAAACATGCTTTATTGTTCATAGCTGGCTGTGAGCAGTGGCATGATTGTACTATAGAACAAACATACAGGTTCACTGATTGAAACTGGCTAAGAAGGAGACTGATGCTGGCTGCAAAGTCCTGTATCACTTGCTGAGAAAAACTGGGGGGAACCGCAATGTTATGTACCACTGTAAGTTAAATGTAACATATAATACACAGTATGATATTACACTGGTATCGCATTCTATAGCATACATAGAGTATACAGCATATACACAGAATGACATCTCATCAATAGACAAAAACTTGGTAAACTTTGCTCCCTATCTATCTTTGAAGCCCACATTAAAGTAAAATAAACCGTGAAGTGTGTTTTCATCAACATAAAGAAACTTCAAATTAAGTATGTCATTACTTGAATGTGTTGGTGTTTTTAAAACAATTTTTAAAGCACCTTGGGTATAGATTTTTTTAAAAAAGATTTATTTATTGATATATTTGAAAGTCAGATTACACAGAGAGAGAAGGAAAGGCAGAGAGACAGAGAGAGAGAGAGAGAAGGAGAGGCAGAGAGAGAGAAACAGAGAGAGGTCTTCCATCCGATGGTTCACTCCCCAATTGGCCGCAACGTCTGGAGCTGTGCCGATCCAAAGGCAGGAGCCAGGAGCTTCTCTGGGTCTCCCACGTGGGTGCAGGGGCCCAAGGACTTGGGCCATCTTCTACTGCTTTCCCAGGCCACAGCAGAAAGCTGGATCAGAAGTGGAGCAGCCAGGACTTGAACCAGTGCCCATATGGGATGCCGGTGCTTCAAGCCAGGGCATTAACCTGCTGTGCCACAGCGCTGGCCCTGAATATAGATGTTTATGCTGTCATCCAACTTACCTGGCAAATAGAAGAACCAGAGTTTAAATTTAGATCACCTTTTTTTTTTTTTTTCAGACTTGTGCACAACTTGCTAGGCCAAAATGGCTACAAAGAGAAAGTAACTGCAGTAGGAGCCTTGTGGTTCCGTTCAGTGAGAGCCACAAGTATTCATGGCTCACACATGCTTCAGACTTAATGAGTGGTGAGGTCAGTTCTCTCCTCCCTCTCCCAAGAGCTGAGGAGGTAATTGGGGTTTTATTCCACGCAGTTGGTCATTTGTTTTGGATAAAGTCCTATGTCTACCACTAAATAAACAAAAGACTTGAAACACTTGCTAGTTAGGGCAGAGTCCTTAAAGCATAAGAGGAGGTAGTAGGCATGGAATACATAATAAGCATACTTCAGAAGCTGCCATGTGTATGCCTGTCTTGTCTTTTCCTGTAAAGAATTCTGATAGTACTGATATGGACCACATGGTCTCATTCCAGTGTACCCTCAAAAGATGGTGTAGAGGCACTACTTTTTAAAAAACTTATCTTACCTGATTCTGACAGACTTCCAACCAACTCTCTTCATTCTATTCTAAACCTTTTGATGTTTCTTGATCGTTTATCATTAGACACTGTAGGTCTATACTGTCCAATTCATTAGACTCTAGCTGCTTGCATTCACTAAAGGTGAGCCTGGCACAGGTCTAGGTTGAGATAGACGTGCTGTAATTGTTAGCTGCATACCAGCTTTTGAAGATTTAATAGCATAAAAAGAATGTATAATATTCTATTAATAGATTTATATTGATTACTTATCAAAATAGTATTGTAGAAATACTAGGCTAAATAAAATATTATTAAGTTGATTTTGTTTCTTTTCACATTTTTAACATGGCTCCTCGAGTGGTTTAAATTCCATTCATGACTCACATCAATTCTGTGGAAGGGCACTGCTCCAGACCCAGTTGAAAGGGTAACATCTTGTTATGTTCCTCTGCCTCACAAATTCACAATGCCCTGCCCTGTTCTGCCCTCTCATTAAGAATAGAGGAGTTGATGGTGGCCATTGTGTATCTGTGCTTTCTCTCCAAAAGCCCTACTTCTCTTAATCTGCTACTGTTTGCCCTCTGTGTGAGTAATAAGTCTAAAACTAGCTCTGGCCTGTCCTTTCCCATGTAGTCTCTGACATACATCTCACGCTGCCCTGACTAACCAGAATCTGTTCCTTCCCAGCCACTCGTTGACTCCCAAGCTCTTCCTCTTTTCAATATGCCACATGCAGAGCAAACTTCATCCATTTTTAGGTTTGAATACATCAGTGTCCTGACTCCAAGGTGACAGCTGTTGTTTGAGTCGCAGTGAATCCTCGATGATGCAGTTTGTTTTGTGTCCCCAGGTGGATTCCCTGTATCCCAAAAGCCTCTGTCGGGAGTTAGGGTTCTAAATAAGCTAAACCACAAATTTCCGCTTCTGAACAGGAGTCATCCCTTAGAGAATATAACATGACATTTGAGAGTTTTGCCTCCACAAGCAGCTTGTCCTAGTTGGAATTGCAGTTTTACTACGATAGTAGGAGTATCGTCCTCTTAGTGTTATTGGGGTCTGTAAGAGAGAGAATGTATGCAAAACACGTACCACAGGACTTGATACATAAGTGTGTGTGTTTAGTGTTAGAAATCCTGTATTGTTTACTCACATTGAAATCATCATCTGGGATATTCTACAGCTTCCTCTTAATTCATGCCACTTTGTTACATTTCTCCAAACTATACCCTGATCTAATCTTCTTAGTAAAGACGTTTAGAATTACACAATTGGGATTTTTGCCGGGTTGTATCTTTGAGCCAGCTTCCCCTACATTTTGTTTTTTCCATTCCCTCTTTACTGATTGGTTGTTCATCTCTCTGGGTTCTTTTGTTTGTTGTTGTTCTGATTACATGTATTATCTCCAGAAAGGAAGGACAGCAGATTCTATTTGCTGGGGCAGTTCCTCAGATACTTAGCTGTGTACTTTGTCAATTTGATTGACTGATTGACCATTTGTGCTTATTGGAATTTTGCACAATAATGTACCAGAAAATGAGGTCCAAACCACCTTACTCCCTGAGTGTCTTCTTTTTCATTTAGTCATCTGTACTGAAATAAAAACTTCTTTTTGCACCCTTTGGAAAGAATTAAAAGAGCCACATTGAACCATAAAGCCTTGTATGAAGGGCTTCTCTTCTCTTTGGTAGGTTCCATCCCTGTTCTGCTGCCTAATGTGGTACTTAGATACCTACCCAGCAAATTCTATGCATTTATTTTAAAGATTTATTTATTTATTTGAAAGGCAGAGATACAGAGATGGAGAGAGAGAGAGGAGAGAGAATTATCTTCCATCTGCTGGTTCACTCCCCAGATGGCTGCAACAACTAGGGCTGGGCCAGGCTGAAGCCAGGAGCCAGGAGCTTCTTCCGGGTCTCCCATGTGAGTGCAGGGACCCAGGCACTTGTGCTGTCCTCTATTGTATTCCCAGGTGCATTAGCAGGGAGCTGGATCAGAAGTAGAGCAGCTGGGACTCGAACCAGCACAAATATGGATGCTGGTGCTGCAGGCCACAGCTTAACCTTCCACACCACAGCATCGTCCCAAATTGCATGCATTTTATACCTGGGTCCTGCTTCAGGGCCCTGTCAGCTGCCCTATCCTTAGACCTCAGCAGGAAGACTCACCTTGTCATGTTAAAGCCATGCTCCAGTGAGAGAAAGCTGGGGAAGAAACAAGATGCACATTGCTCTTCTCGCCAGTGTTTCTACCCTGGGGTCTTGGTGGGTGGTGGTTCTGTATCACTTGATCTATTGTTCTTCTGAGGAAAGGGAGTTAAGGGCCAGCAGGCAGACACCCAGGAGCCGTTCACCTTCAGTGTTGAAAAGCTGGCATCCTAATGGCTTCCTTTAAAATAGTAGGCAAAGCAAGAGTACCAGAAATTGAAGTGGGATATTGGGATGCCTAATGTTCAGGCTATCACAGTGCTAAGATAGGTTGATTTCCTCTGTTTTCTCTTTGGACCAAGGAATTGCTGATTAAATGGAAGCAGTGCAGTCAAACATTTTCAAAGGAATTGAGTTCAATTTTAAAAGTAGTTTTTCTTTTCTCTTGCTATGCCTTGGTCATTGATACTAACGAAAAGAACTTTGAAATTAGTTTTGGAAACAAATTCCACCAACTAATTTCCAGGCCCTTTATGCTCCATTGATGTTCTCCTATCTCTTGGAGTTGTAATCTTGTCTTTTTAATAGATAAAGGGATTCATCTAGTTAACTGGGTTTTTTCCCTCTAACCTAAGACTTAAGTTGCAAAGGTACATTAACCACTGTCTTTGTTGAGCTTAGAAATTGGGAGAAAATTGCAAGTGATCCATTTAATTTTTAAAGATAAAAAGTAATTGAATTAATATACCTCTATGGTGAGATTTACTTATATTGAATAATTTCATATCTCCAAAGTTGTGCTGGTATGGGAATTTTGAAACCCAAAAGCAATATAATAAGAATTTAGAATTCTAAAAATATTCATTAAAATGAGCCTAGTTTAGGTTTGTTCAGCAAATGATTATTATAAATGTCACCTCTGAAAGACAGCAGTTAAATTCTAAGCATTTGAAATTATACTAAACCAATGTGATTTATTATGGAAAATTCAGTTATCAGATTTGAAATAAAGTATGTAAAAATCATTGGCTGTGGGTTCAAGATGTCCTAAGAGAAACTTCAAAATCTTCATATTATTTGGATAGTTATGAAATATTTACTGTAGTTTG